TTATCCCATTTCTTTCCCTTTTCACCACTTCCCTTCATTTGTCCTGTCCCCCTCTTATTCCAGCAATCTATTCCTTCTGAGAGTAGGTACTTCTATTGCCCTCTTGGTTACAGTGTCTGAGAGCCTCACAATCTTGCACTTTGGGCATTTATACTACTTATTAAAGAAGTGTACAATGCTCTATCTAGTTGTTGGGGGACGTATCCCATTTCTTTCCCTTTTCACCACTTCCCTTCATTTGTCCTGTCCCCCTCTTATTCCAGCAATCTATTCCTTCTGAGAGTAGGTACTTCTATTGCCCTCTTGGTTACAGTGTCTGAGAGCCTCACAATCTTGCACTTTGGGCATTTATACTACTTATTAAAGAAGTGTACAATGCTCTATCTAGTTGTTGGGGGACGTAGTCAGAATACTAGCTTCAATATCCAGAGTTCTGGGCAAGCCCAACCTTAAAATCCGTCTGGATTTATTTTCTCAACATAATGGAAGAATTAACAGACACAGCTGGAAACTTCAATAACTGGTGGGCAAATGATCAAACTAACGGTGTCTAGAGATGCCTGCTGGATCTCTCAGAGAGATGATAGCCAAGAAATGGAAAAGTCAAGTCCCTAGACTTTAGACTAAACTGGCTGACCCTCTTGGCAAGGAAGATGAGCTGGAGGCAATAGTATATGCCTCAAAATTGAAGACAGCCCAGTATATGATTTTCTCTAAATATATTATTTTATATCTTGCAGGAAAGTAAGTTAATTTAGATATAGGGACTGGATCTAAGTGGATCCTGGATATTGCAATAAAAAGAGTTTGCAAACAAAAACAAACCAACACCACAGACTTTCAAGAGCTCTTAAATGCTTTGGATGACTCAAAGGGACAATCTCTCTTTGTCTTGGTAGTACAAGGAGGCCCCCGAGATGCAACTGCCCAAGTTCCTATTCCCTGCACTTACAACCATTTTTTTGAGTGCGGAAGGGGCTGGAAACTCCCAAATTACATCCTTGGCCCACACTTACGACGATGCATGGCGCCTATCGTAAATGAGGGTTCAAGTTACAATGCCTCCAACTTGCGACACTTCCCCTGGAACCAATCATGTCACATGTCGGGGGCCTCCTGTATTGTATATATTTTCTCTCTCAGGTTCATTTTGTAGAACAATTATGACAGTGGTTCTATATAATTGCTTCCCTCCCCAAAAGGGAATTATCTACAGTACACCTTTATACATCAGGATTCAGGTTCATTTCAAAAGGGACAAGAACCTAGAGGCAAGATTATTGCTGCAGCTATAAGTTACCCTTTTGTGCTCTAACTATTTTTTCTAAGATGATCCACTGCTTGCAGACTATTTTTTGCTAAATTTAGACATATTGGAAAAAGTTAATAGGGATGCAATATACAAAATTATATTCTTTGCTTTACAGCAAGTTAGACACAGTCAGGGCCTGCTTGTGATCTCACTTTCACCTGTCTCCCACCAGTACAACTCAATTAGCAAAGAGAAGTTACTTCTGATTTCAACACATAGAATAAGCAAGATCAGAATCAGCTACCAGTTTGCTACATCAGTACAGGAAAAGTTAGCTTATATAAATCACTGCATGATATGAAACCTGATTCCTTTAGAATACATAATCACATTGTTGTTTTGTATGCATATGATTCCTCACTGCTCCCACTAATGTGCAGAGATATGTATTCTTTTTCACAGAAAGAATCAGAGAATCAACATGCCAGAGTGGCACTATATGGCGATATACTCTCTGATATGACAGTACAAGGAGGGGAAAACATTTTAACAAGTCAAGAAGATAAAATTAGATCCACAAAGAGTATGGTCAGCACTGAAGGCTTCTCACTTGTTTCACTGAGGCACTGAAAATGTATGAAGCAGATGAAAATAGTGCTAAGTCGGGGAGAGGTGTGCCTCATGGAGTTCAATTTTGTGTAAGTCTTTTGAACTCTCTTTTGGGTACCCCAAATTTGCCTGAGCACATTAACCATTTTTTCTTGTAATTTACAACTTGTATCTTTCTCTAAGATATTTTAAATAGGAACTGACAAATTATAGCCACAGTTGCCCGCTTGCCACATCTCCCATTTACCTCCTACTCTCTCACTCTTTTGCCTTTTCTGACCTTCTTCCCCCACTTTCTACTTCACTTTTTCTTTTCTATTTTTTGGGAGGAGGAGTGCTTTCAATTTTTTGTCTGACTCCATCTCTCCTTGGGTTCCCCCAATTCTGATGTCTGTCTCGACCTTCTCTTACTCAGCCCCAGCCTCTCCTGTAGTTGATGCTACTCTGCTCTCCTCTCGGTTTCCCCAGAAAGGAAGGAACAGCACCACCTGTTGGGAGAGAAGGAGAGTGAATGTAAAGTCAACATGATTTTTATCACCAGACCTGGGCTCCTACAGTGAGATCAAGTCCTACTTTCTTTGATGTCAATGACAGTCGAACCTCATCTTTGCCAGAAGGAGGATAGGACCCAGTACACTATATCAGTTTGCGTTTATTAATCAAACCTGTGATCTTGATCCAAATTCTTGCTTTCTGCACACATGTCCCTTTCCAAAGGGCCGATGTGCATGAGGAAAGTAAGCAAAATTGGGGCCCAATCCAAAAGAAAGCGATGGCATTATAGAAATATATATTCTTCATATGCTGCTGTACACCAGACATCAAATAGTAAAGCTTTGGTTCTATATTCACAAAATGTTTCACGACTAAACATTATTTCTAGCCATGTCTACGGCACATGTACTATGCTATCAGACCATCTGGTAAGATTAATATGCAGTATTCCTCTTTTCAATCCTTTGAAGTCAATTTTCTGCATGGTTTAGGTGCTGATCAATTCATCGGTGCTGGGTTTCTCATTATATGAAATTGCAGGAGGAGCTGCCAGTGTAATCAAGTGGGTCCACAATCAAAATCCTAGCTGACACGCAAGGAGATCCAGACTCAATCCAATCCCTTGCAGGAGCCAAATCCATCATCATGGATCTTCCCAGGAGGACACCCTGACTTTGACCACCACAAGTTCAAACCAAGACTGCAGCAGCCACAGTATTGCCACCAAGAATAGTTGATCTGCTGTGAAGCCAAGATGCATTAATGGGTAAGTCCCAGCTGTTTTGAAACAGACCCAGAATTTGATGCTGGATGACCTGTGGCTGAAATCCATGAAGTGATCACTTGTACAGCCTTGCTTGACATTATGTACATAATTTACAGGTGTTAAAAATCGCTTGGAAACTGTGCAGTTCCTGACTGTCCTTTATCCTGTACATTTTTGCCTCACACAGAAAAATAAATACTACATTACAGACTGTTGTTTTTCTGAAATATAAGGTAGGTAAGGCAGTATCTTTTGAACCAACTTTTTCTGGAGAGAAAGACAAGCTTCCAAGCCACACAGAGCTCCTTTTTCAGGTCTGATGGAGAGACAAGGTGAGTGAAGGCTCTGGTATCCTGGGACTGACACAGCTGCAGTCATTCTTCTGTCATTTTCTAAACACAAATTTGGCTGGGTGGTTTCAGATATGCCCAGGAAAATTTCAGATAACCGTAAGAATCAACTTAGTTGTTGATATTTACACAAGTGTGTAGATGAAAGCATAAAAGCTGCTATTCCTTTGTTCCACGGGAACAAATAGCTACTTAAAAATAATAAAGTCTTTATGATGTTATGCAGGCACAAAACGTGGATGCTGCTTTAAAAATGGATTGTTTTGGTGTTCTACAGGAAGGTTTTGAACAGTCAAACACACAGGAACTTTGCTTGCAATGATAACAACTACATCCAGCATAATCTTTCTAGCCACAGGCTTATTTCAGACTATGCAGATAGTGTTCTCAGGAGAGCTTAACCAGTATATTTGATTTTCTTAACTATATGGAAGAATTCCACTTTTAGAATTAATCATTAGGGTTTGTATTTGATTTTCTTAACTATATGGAAGAATTCCGCTTTTAGAATTAATCATCAGGGGGTTTTTTTTTTTAGTTTCATAGATTTTTTTTTCCCACCTACAAAATATTAATTATGTAACTCTGCAGTCAAACACACACTTCAAAGTGTTTTGACTTGGACGACAGCAAAGTTTTTTTTAAAAAACCAGTGAGGCAAAAATGGGGAAGAGGTGCGGAAGAAAAACAAAAATGATCATTTTATGTAAACTACTCAAAATGCTTTGTACTCATACGTAGAATATGATCATTTTATGTAAACTACTCAAAACGTAGAAGCCAATACGTAGAAGCCATACGTAGAAGCCATACTCATACGTAGAAGCCAATACAAGAAAATCAACGGTAGTAAAATATAGCTAGTAGAATGTAAAGAACTGTTCAGCACTGAATTAAAACAAAGCCAATACAAGAAAATCAACGGTAGTAAAATATAGCTAGTAGAACTAAGAAGAATGTCAAGAACTGTTCAGCACTGAATTAAAACGCCACTAAACTTAAGCAGATTAGTTCATCTCAGAGCACAGGACCCTCAGGCTATGTCTACACAGCAGCGTTATTTCCAATTAACTGATGTCTACTCTACAAGCCTTTATTTCAAAATAATGTCAAGCTGGATGACATCTTACTCTGTCTCATGGTAACCCTCATTTCATGAGGAAGTTGAAGGAAGAGTGTTCTTCCTTCAACTTCCTGCCAGGGCTGGCTCTAGGTTTTTTGCTGCCCCAAGCAAAACATTTTTTCGGCCGGCCCTCCCTCCTTTTTTGGTGGCTTTTACACGTTTGCACTTTGCAATGTTTATTTGTTTGTTTTTGTTTTCATTTTTGTCCTGGCATTTTAGCCCTATAAATAGCAAGTCTAATTTTTATTATTTTTTTTTCCATAAAGGCAAAGGAGCTTCAAGTAAATGCCCCCTCCCCTTTCACTTGTTGCTGGGTCACAACAGCCTTTTCCCTGCCCTGTCCAGTCCCTCCCTATGGACAAGCACCCCTCACTCCTGACCCACAGGGGGAGCAGGGTGCAGGGACAGTGCAGAGCCAGGGGGGCATGGGGAACAGGGGAAGCAGGGTTCACCATGGGGAATGGGAGGCGCAGAGCCAGACTAGTGCAGGGAACAGTGTGGAAGGTACAGGGGTGGTGCAGGGAGGGGGAGGCGCAGAGCCAGAGGGACGCAGGGATTGGGGGGAGCAGAGGAGGCACAGGGAGTAGGATGCAGGGAACGGAAGGAGCAGAGGGATCGGGGTCCAGGGGCAGTGCGGGGAATGGGGGGCACAGAGCCAGAGGGGCATGGGGACCAGGGGGGAGGAGCGGAGTCGGGGTCCAGGGGCAGTGCGGGGAATGGGGGGCACAGAGCCAGAGGGGCATGGGGACCAGGGGGCAGGAGCGGTGCAGGAAATGGGCAGTGCAGAGCCAGAGGGGCACGGGGTGGGGTGGGGTGGGCACAGCGAGCCGGGTGGCTAGCAGGGAGAAGGTCCCTCGCCTGCGAAGGACTGGAGCCAGTGAAGCGGGGCGGAGCCTGGCCGCTCCACATTCAGCTCCTGGGGACACGCAGCCAGACCCGAGTTCCTGTGGCCCTTTACAATCGGTGGGGCGGGCAGGGCCGGATGCTTACCTGGGAATGCTGCCCCTGGAAATGTGTTGCCCCAAACATGTGCTTGATTTGCTGGTGCATAGAGCCAGCCCTGCTTCCTGCTATGTAGACAGTGCCAAAAGCCGGGGTATGCTCTTCGACTTCAGCTATGTCAATTGCGTAGCTGAAGTTGTGTAGCTTAATTCGACTTTAGCCCTGCTGGGTAGAGCAGTGGTCACCAACCAGTAGATCGGGATCTACTGGTAGATCTTGGAGTCTCTGACAGGTGATCCTGACTGGTTTGGCCAAGAGGTTATCAAGCCCAGCACTTCAACTGCCCCTTCCCCCACTGCTGCTCATCTCCTGCCCTTTGCCTTGGAGCTACTCCTCCCCTTGGGGGGGGCCTCCTGCTTTCTGGGCAGGGGAGGGGAGGGCAGGGAGGGAGATGAGGGGTGCTGACATCAAGGTGGCCCCTCCTACCCCGTATTCTATCTTCACAAAGCAGAGAGGGGGCACAACAGGACTTGGGATGGAGTTTGCTGACTGCTTTAGGGAGTGGGCCAGGGCAGGGGTGAGCCTGCCTTAACCTCCCCTCTCCCCCACTGCATCACCACCCAGGAGTCACCTGAGGTAAGCAAGGCCCAGCTGGATCCCACATCCCAAACTCCTACCCCAGTCATGAACCCGCTTCTCCACTCCAAGCCCCAGTCCCGAGCACCCCTGCATCCAAATACTGTCCCAGAACCTGCACCTAGAACCCCCTCCTACATCCCAACTGCCTGCCCCAAAAGCAGCTCAGAGCCCCTCTTACATTCTAGATCCCTTAATCCAAGACCAGAGCCTGCACCCCAGCCCCTTGCCCCAGCCTGATGAAAGTGAGTGAGGTTACGCAAGAGATGGAGGATGGAATGAGCAGGGCGGGGCCTTGAAGAAGGGGCTGGGCAAGGGTATTTACGTTTGAGGTAGATCTTGGATTGTACTTAAATTCAAAAAGTGACCTCGTGCTTAAAAAGATTGGAGACCCCTGGTGTAGAAGAACCCACATAGATCAATGTATGCTAATTGAGTTCTTTCCTTATTTCAAGATAAAAAGATATGACTCTTAAAATAATAAAATATAAAATAATAAAAAATTTTCTTTTGTCTCATCTTGTATCTGTTGAAATGGTCTGTAAAATTATTACATCCTTATGCATAACCTTGTGGAGCTGAGGGCAAAGGAAAGTGAGGCAAGAGGGTAGATTTAAAGAACTTCCAATTGTGATCTGCTAACTTGAATCCAAGTTATTTAGAAGAACTCCAATAGTCCGGCATCCAACTGTTCAGCACTCCCGATACTCTGGCATCAAAATGCCAAGTGCTCCTAACCAGCTGATTAAAAAGCCTGCTGCTCAGCACACGTGCTGGCTGTAACCAGACGTATGGAAAAGAGCTTCAGTTTTGCTTCAGGGAAGGGGAAAGGGGAGAGAAGGGGGAGGAGGAGGATCAGGTTACAGCAGGGAGGAGACACAAAAAGGAAAGGGGAGGGGAGAGGGAGGAAGATTGTGTCCTGGCCAGCTTTTAAGCCGTGCAGCTGTACTGGACCTCCCGATTCTCCGGCAAATCTGATAATCCAGCACCACCTAGGTCCAAAAAGTGCCGGATTATCAGAAGTCTACTGTAACTATGTAATCATATAAGACCAAGTACACATGCTCTTCACAGGATAACTTTCAAAGGTCAGTTCTTATCTATAGGGACCGTCACTGGGGAACAAGGAGGATGGCATGGGGCAAACCCTCACTGCAGGCGCCACCCCTGTTCCACCCCTCCCCCCCAAGTCCTGCCTCTGTTCTCTCCCCCTTGCCTGAAGCCCCCCTCTCCCAAGCAACAAGAGCTGGAGGATGATGGGGAGCCTGGTGTGCTGGGTTAGCAGTGAATGTGGTGGTAGTGAGTTGAGGCACAGGAGGGGTTTGGGCTCCAGCTGGGTGGTGCTTACCTCAGGCAGTTCTGAATGGGCAGCACAGTGGGGCTAAGACAGCTGGCTCTGTGCTGCTCCTGGAAGTTGCCACTATGTCAAGCTTAGGTGGAGGGGCCAGGCAGCTCTGTGCAATACACACTACCCACACCCACAGGCACTGTCCTTACAGCTCCCATTGGACATGGTTCCCTACCAATGTATATATTGGTTCTTGTGGTTTCTGGTACATGGGAGCTATGGAGCCGGAGCTGGGGGGCACACAGAGCTTTCCTGATCACCCCTTCGCTACGTGCTGCAGGGATATTACCAGCTGGCAAGTCTTTTTGGCTCCAGCCCTGTGTGAGGTGAGCAGGGCACTGAAGCTTCTGGCCCACAATACAGAGACCTGCTCCAGGCCAGATTCAATGAAGAAGCAGGCTGTATCCAGTCTATGGGCTGCATGTTTCTCCATCCCTGCTTTAAATGCTCAGTCAGCCCCGAAATCAGTTGTGGTAGATGGGACTGTGTTTCTACCCTGCCTGCTAAAAGCTAAAACTCAGAGAGAGCTGAAAACCCTCAGACTCTGTGCTTGCGAGTAGGGAAGTATTGCCTCTCAGAGGCACTTAGTGGGGTGTGGGGGCTTAAACTGGTTCGGTGTTGTATTGAAGGAAAGGAATCCCTAGATATCTTTGCTTGCTGCTGACTCCACCTAGCAGCAGGATTACACAATGAAATGATGACTTAAATTTTCATGTTCTGCAGAAGAATTAATATTAGTGTTTTGGCTGGTCATTCAGAGGAAAACAAAACCTTTCAAAAGAAGCTGCCAGTTCTTTAAATTGGCTATT